AGACACTTGGCTCTCCACAGCACCGTGAACCCAGCACGATCCACCCCAGCCCTCTATGTTCCTTGCAGACCTGTCCTCCGTGCCTGCCCCCATAGCACCAATGTCTCCCGAGGTGTCCATGCCCTGATTCTGCGCCCCCCCTTTTCCAGTCTTGACTTCTGTTCAAGCGATGCCCACCCCTCAGTGCATCCTTTCTTCCTCCCCTTACGACCCTCAGTTCTTCCCTTTGGTTCACTGCTGGCGGCAGCCTCCTGAGTAGCCATTCTCCCGTCCTGGGCCAGTTTCCTGCTCTCCCTGTCGCTGCTAGAACAGTGATGTCACAGAGTCAGTACTAAGCAAATCCTTGCTGAACCATTGAGAGATGAAAGAGGCTTCCTCATATGCAAATCAGATCTTGTTGCTTCTCTGTGTAAAATGCTTCAGTGGCTTCCACTGCTTTTCAAGTCAAGTCCAAACTCTTGGGTCTGTCATTCAAGGCTCTTTGCAGCCTCACCGGGCAGGGGCCATCTCCCGTCACTCAGCATTTGCACCCTGTGCCCTGCCATCCCCAGCGAATGACAGACTGTTTTCTGGATGGTGCTTGTGTGAAAGGTGGTGATGGACAAGGATCTCCGGCTCTGTAATCGGATTCAATAGGGTCCCATTCCAGCTCTACCTCTGGGAAGGTGTTACTTATCCCCTCTTTGCCTCAGTTTCTTCATCTGTAAAATGGTGCTCATGGTATCACTTACTAGGGCTGTTGTGAGAATCAAATGTGTGAATACAGCACTTAGATCAGTGCCTGGCACGTACAAACACCACATTATGGTTACCCTGAGGTGATTATGAGTATGGTTACTTCATCCTATGCCTCTTCCTTCTGCCTGGAATACCTTCCTCCACCATGCCCTATAGGCTGTACACATCCTCCAAGTCTCAGGCCCAGTGCCATGGCCTCTCTGAAGCCAGCTTGTGTAGCTGCGTCATATTATACGCTTAAGCTGTGGGGATCAGAATGTGTGGTTTTAAATCCTGCTTCTAGCCCTGACCAGTGTGGCTCAGTTGGTTGGGCATTGTCCTGTGCACCATTTCTATTCACACGCCCGGGTTACGGGCTCCATCGCAGGTAGGGAGCATGCAGGAGGCAATCAATCAGTGTTTCACTCTCACATGGATGTTTCTCTCTCCCCTTCTCCCTTCCAGTTTCTCTAAAAATCAGTTAAGAAAAGATTTTAAATCCTGCTTCCTACGACTCACAATTTTTTTCTCTCGTCCAGGGGTAGGGAACTTTTTTTCTGCCAATGGCCATTTGGATGTTTATAACATCTTTTGCGGGCCATACAGAATTATCAACTTAAAAATTAGCCTGCTATGTTTATTCAAACATTTAATTAGCTCATGCCTTGGCAGGGCCAGACCAAATGATTGCTCAGGCCTTATACGTTCCCCACCCCTGCTCTAGTCTAAACTTGCTAGGCTGTGGTATTCTTATCTATAAAATTAGGGGAGTGAAACGATAGTCCCTACGTTGTTAGAGTTGTTGGGAAAAAATATAGTGTGCAAAGACATACCTGGCATATACTAAGTACTTCATTCATGTTAGCATTTTTTATTAGCAGCCTTTCTTATTTTTTTTTCTTATCAAGAGCTAGCCACTGTATCCTTATAACCTTTCCACATGTTTCAGCTTCTAGACTGCGAGTTATTGGAGGTCAGGGACAGGGAACTTATCATTAGATCACAACACTTGACACATCATTCTGTCAATGGAATGGACATGAATTCAGCTGCTTTGTCAATATGTGGAACCGTCTGCCCACGTTGCTTTAAGAGATTTCAGGGTGGGGGCACATGTGCAATATAGAGATTTTGTAACATAGGAATCTATACCTGAAACCTATATGACTCTGATTGTCGTCCCAATAAACTTTAATTTAAAAAACATATGAAAAGAAAGAAAAAAGGAGATTTCAGAGCACTGTGAAGGAAGAGCTGGTAAGGGAAGGAAGTACCTCTGGGGGAGGATTGTTTCCGACCTTTGGAAGGTACTGAAAACCGGAAGTTAATTGGAGCTACACCATTTCCTTTGGGCCAGAGGTGTCTGGGGATGGGAGAGGACATCTGCCCAGCCAGGGCAGGAACTGACTCCCCAGCCATGACGCATGTTTTATGGGTGGATTGACAATATCATATACTGGTTCTTAAACAGGGTTGTGCTGGGAAATATTTAAAAACTCTTCTCCCAGAACAACACCAAGCCCTAGTTTGTGGTGTGTGCTGATTACTGTGGTGTAAATATTCCCACCGAGGCCGCTTACAAGCTACCACTGCAGTTCCTCACGAAATTCCTGAAAACGTACCCGTCGGCCAGTAATGAGCGGGCTCCATCACGCGGCTGTGTAGACTTCTTCAGTTGTTGTCTCTGTAGAATGCGATCCTATACTGTGATCCTGTCTCCAAACAGAAATGTCCCGGACAGCTGGGTCCAATTGTGAAGGGACCGTGGGAATGGCAGTGTTTTAGTGAAGCTGCCTGCGTTCACCGTTACCTTGAAACTCCCACCCCCTCTGCTGGCTGTGCTTGTCTGAGGGCCAGGATCGGTGCTGCTGATCTTCTCTCCAACACCAGGCTGCCCAGCATTCTGCTCGGAGCAGTACATACAGTTTTATCCTCTGGATCGGGATTGTGCCCGGTGCGGCAGACTGACTCAATTAGCCTTTCGTTCCAGAGTCCAATTGTGAGTCAATTCTGAGGTTGTTAAGCAAAATGAGTCTGGTGGCAGTCGCCTCGCGCTGAGGGACAGTCATCCACATCACGGGGCCGTTCGGTTAATAATAGTCTCCTCGAGAGACCACGAGAAGCGGGAGACACGTAGACAGAGCGACCTTTCATCCGTCTGGAGGTGGGGCGCGGGGGGCGCAGGGCTGCCAGGTCAGAGAGCCGATCGATCAGGTGGTGTGCACAGCGGGAGCCGGAGCTGCCTGCCCCGCAGTTGGCTTTTGCAAAGTTAGAAGCCCGGGACGGCGAGATCATTAACTTTCACGACCAGGAAAATACTTCTGAAATTAACACTCCGTCCAAGCTGGATGCCGTTGGAGCCAGCGGGGTGAGCCTGGGCCACCTCCGGGGATTTCCTCCGAAAAATAAATCCTTTAGCCAGGCTCCAGGAAACGGCCAGGGTCTGTGCGCTCCAGTGTGTTCAATTAGAGGCAGAACACGCCAGCGAGGCTCAGGCTGCGGGGAGAGAGCCAGGCGCGCCCACCTGCGTGCCTGAGTCTCAGATGGAGGGTTTTGTCGAGTCACTTAGCTTTAGCACGTGGCCCTGCTGGGAAGCCACATAACGGGCCCCGCAGAGAGGGTCAGGTGCCGTGCAAAGACAATTAAGCTGAGCTCCAGCACCTGCCCCGGGGGATCCACAGCGATGGAACCAGGCCCACAACATACGGGAGCGCACAGATCGGCACAGGTGGGTGGGAGGGGGGAACAGACACGCCTTGTTTACAAGGGTCCAAGGGGCGGCCAGTCTCCCAGGAACACTGCGCAGCCTCTGCCGTGTGCTGGGAACCCTTCGATCCCCTGCTCCTTAAAGCCTGCCTGTGATAAAGGGACACAGATGTGCTTCCTGCGGGCCTAGGACAGACCTTGGTGATCATCCCACATCCTACCTTGCTCGGTCTGCTCGTACAAGATGCTAAGTAAACACAGTTGCTTGGGTGGAAAGAAGTGAAAACAGCACTGGGTGTGTGGGCTGCCCACGTGGGGGGAGCGAAGGAGAAGCAAGCGGAGACAACCGGTCATTGTCGGCCGTAATCGCCGGAGAATTTCAGTTCTCTGGCGGCCCATTGTGTTCTGCACATGGATGCAGAGCTACTGTCTGCTGAGATGACCTCAGAGGGCCCAGCTCAGGCAGGACTTCTCCAACAATATCCTCTTCAGACTGAAAAACAGCCAGTGGGTCACCAAGAGGCCTCTCCGCCCCCTTCTCCTCCCCCAGACCAGAGTGTCTGTGGCCCCTCTCCACACTGGGTCTCTGCGACTTCACCAGCAACCAGCGCATCCGGGGGTGGGGTGGGGGGCTGGCTGGCCCCCAGGGGGTCCCCAGATTGCAGACATGCTGCATTTTGATCAGTAGACCCCCGCCCCCCCTCCACCCCGGCACCACCTCCACCTCCAGCAGACGCACCACCCCCAGGGAGAGAGAGTGAAACCAGGGCCTTTCCCTTCAGGTGCAGGAAGGCAAGCTCTCCCCATGGCCACTTGGCTGGAAGAATCCCTGTCCCCCCACCCCCCGTCCCCTGGCTGGTGGGTGAGTGATGACTTACAGGACAGATACGAGGAATTTTAACGCCAGTAGGAATTTCGGGAACAGATGGGCTGCAGGAACCTATTTTGATGCCAGGGACAGGGTTCTGTGTCAAGTAAATATTTTTCCAGCGTGGATCTCCGGTGAGGCTGTAGGGAAGCAGATTTCCTCAAGATGCAAATGAGTCAAGTTAGAAATAAATATTGAATGGAAACTGCAATGCAGCTTAGTTTCTCCAGTTGTGGGCCCCCAAGACTTCCCGCAGATAAGCCGCTGCCGCCGCCCAGGTGGGCGAGGGCAGGCGTGGATGGAGAGGAGGGGGATGTACGGGAGAGGTTGCTCTCATTCTCAGACTTCGCGTTTTCTGTATATTTTTTTTTTGGGGGGGGGGGCGGGGTGGAAAACGCGTAACCACAAAGGAATCAAGCAAAGTTATGTCTGTCCAGAGGCTTGGGATATTATTTTAAAAATATATGATTATTGATTTCAGAGAGGAAGGGAGAGAGAGATAGAAACATCAGTGATGAGAGCATCATAGATCAGCTGCTTCCTGCACGCCCCACACTGGGGAATGAACCTGAAACCCGGGCCTGTGCCCTGACCGGGAATCGAACCCTGACCTCCTGGTTCATAGGTTGATGCTCAACCACTGGGTCATGCAGGCCGGGTGAGGCTCAGGCTATTTTAAAGCACCCTCCCCCCTCTCTTCCTAACCCAGATCTCGCCTGGCGGATTTTTTCACCAACTGCCAGCCGGAGTCCAGGTCTGCCAGCAGCTGCCTGAAGGAAAACTACGCTGACTGCCTCCTCGCCTACTCCGGGCTCATTGGTAAGATGGGGAGGAGCGAGATGGGAGGAAAGGCTGGTTTACAAATACTCAGGGACCCTTCCCGCTATAGCCGCCATGGCCTGTGAGAGCCACAAGCTCCCAGTGTCCCTCTGTGCTGGGGTTTTGATGTCAGGCCTCTAGGACTCGCCTGTAAAAAAAAAAAAAAGAAAAGAAAAAAAAGGCAAAAAGGAGGCTAATGGATTCGCAAAGGCAAAGGCAGGGAGCAGGGATTGTTAAAGAGCAGGCAGACAGCAGCGCAGTAGGAGAAGCGACCATGTGGAACCGAAGTACGAAAAGGCCTGCTTAGGGAAGAGGAGAGCGCGCCAAGTCAAGGAAACGGAATCAGGAGGCTTTGGAGAAAGGGAATTTGGAAGTCGTTCATTCTGGGGAAATCCAAAGGCTGTTTCCCAGAAATGGCCCTTTGGAGAGGAAGCCCCTGAGTGCCGGGGTCCTGATCACCATTCATAGCCTCGCGGATGCGGCCCCTGGAGTGCAGGGGGCGACTTCGCCTCCGTGTTTTCCCATGAACAGACTCAGCAGCAGGAACAGTCTTTTCTGTCTTTCAAGACCTGAGGCGCGAGCAGACCAGGTGCTGGGCGCCTAGGAGACCAGTGCGATTGAACGGGCACTGGTGGGTTGGCAGAGAGCCAGAGGGAGGCAGATGTGCCCCTGGGTGGGTGTGGCAGCCTGGAGGGCAGGCGGCTGCTCCGCGGACCAGGGCCTGGGGAGCCTGGTGACAGGGCTGCTGCCTGATTGACATTTGGGAAGGAACACACAGTGCAGGCTGGGAGGGGGAGGGAGATCGCGGCTGTCAGAGGCGCGATGGCTCAGCCAGGGTGTGTGTTCCTGCCAGGATCGCGCACGTCACCAGGCAGAAGGAACTCCTCTTGCTCCCCCCCACCCCCGCCCCCAACACAACAGCACAGACCAAATTCTTTGTCACCAGCGTGTCCTTAGCAAGAGCCATGGGAAAATCGACAGTGGGACTTACGCAGGGGTATTACAGGTGTCTGCCCACGTGTCCCCTCCTGCATGCCCCCAACTGGGGATCGAGCCAGCAACCTGGACCTGTGCTCTTGACCGGACTCGAACCCGGGACCCAGGACCCTTCAGTCTGCAGGCTGACGCTCTATCCACTGAGCCAAACTGGCTAGGGCCCCACTTCTTTTGAAAGGATACCTGTGGTCTGTTGGGTTGTTGACCGTGTTTATGGATATGTCCAATGTGTATCATTTCCTTAAGTCAGTGTTCCAAATTGGCATTTGCTCTCCTTTTTTTAAGTTAGTCCCTAGGAGGGATTCCTTCTCAACTACGGCATTCTAGGTTTAAGGAATAACAGAAGTAATTAAGGCATGCTCATTGCACAAAGTAAAGAAACGAGCAAACAGAGAAGCCCAAAGGAGACAGTTCTAAGGAGCTACAAGTCCACTCCCAGGTGTAATTGCTATTAACACCTCAGGCCCATCCCTCCAGGCACACGCGCTCATGAACTCCGCCTTGAATGGCTAGGCAAGCTGTTACATGCCTGAGGATGATGAGATCCTCTTCTCTTACGGGAATAGTCGGTCGAGGCAGTGCATTCTACAGACCAAAACCTATTTCTCCGTTGGGCCCGGATCCCTCCTTCCACACTGGCCATTGCGTTCTAACTTCTTTGAGGACAAAGCTGGCTCCGACTTTTCCACGTGTCAGGGACCCACCGTGGTGCTAGGCGCGCTTAGTAGGTACATGTCCACCTCTTTGCTCAGTTGCTTTCTCACCAACAGAGCTCCCTCTCTGTTGTGGGTCGAAGGTCTCATCTCAAGATATAATGGCACATCACTTAGTTCAAGTCAGTGAGGAATGTACGGCAAAGAAGATGTACTCTGGACCCAGAAGAGCTTACAAAGAAAAAAAAATTTTTTTCTGTTTGTGAACCAACTATATCCTGTGGATCACTGACTACTTATTTCCACAAAATGTAGAAAAACAGAGGGCTTCTTGGCATGAGTTGGCATCGCCTGGTGTGGGCCACCCAGGAGAAGGCATTCGGGTTGTATTAGGGAGAAGTGCACTGTTTATTTGTGCCAGTACAGAACTCACCAGAAACACCATGAGCACAGGAAGATGTGGGCAAGTGAGACCACCCAGTATTTCTTTTGGGGCTTTCGAGGGCTGGTGAGACAATGCTCTAGGAGCCATCAGCTTAGGGAGTCTCCACTGTTGGCATCTAGTTCCTCCACAGCTTGGAAGACTTTATTTCAGTCTGAGGGCGTCTGGTGAGCAGAGGCCTCCTCACACAGTACATTCAGGATGTGGGGTGATCTGTAAAGATTGCTTTGAAGCTTCTTTAGTTTCTCGGAAGAAGCCATTTGCTGCCGAGGGAAGTGGATTCAACGTCCTAAGAGGATTTTTAAGGTACGTAAAACCAGTTCTATCTGTTTATGAAGATTAATGACATTCTCAAGAAAATGCAAGGGATTTGGCAACTCATGCATTCAAAGTTAATTCTCTCCTACTCCAAGACATGCATACCATTTGTGCAGGAAAAAAAAAAAAAAGAAAGAAAAACCGCCCTAAATGCAGCTCAAGGAGTTCCGTTATAATTTTTTAAGTAAATGTGTAAATTATTTTATGTGCTCGAGATAAATTGCCGGGAAAATGCACTGCTTAACATAATTTCCCACTTTGCCAACACAGTGTCTGCAATTATCCACGGTGCATCCGCCCTGAGAGAGCATTTGTTTCTTTTCAGGCTGTAGAAAAGTCCTTATCGTCAGGCAAGAATAAAACACCTGGTTTCTACTCCTTTAGGTACAGTCATGACCCCCAACTACATAGACTCCAGCAGCCTCAGCGTGGCCCCGTGGTGTGACTGCAGCAATAGCGGCAACGACCTGGAAGAGTGCTTGAAGTTTCTGAATTTCTTCAAGGACAATACATGTCTTAGTAAGTTATTTTAAAAATAGGAAACAAACACGTTTTCCTCTCTTGAGTTCAAGCCCTACTTCCATGTTCCTTGTGTTTCTTGTGTCCGTTCTCTCTCCCTCCCTCCCTCCCTCCCTCCCTCTCTCTCTCCACAGCCTTTGGCCACACTGCCTAATGCAGCAGGGAACACAGCAAGTGATCAGCTGGGTGCTGCCAAGACAGACTCCAAAAACTCGAGAGAACAAGAGATTCTATTAACTGAGGGTCCATTGTGTGGGAAGGAACCCTTCTACCCACAAATCAAAGTTTGATCTTGGCAACCAGCACAACGTCTGTTCCAAATGTTCTTAAAACCTGAGTGTAATATACAATGTGAGATGCTCAGACAAATTAGGTGGGGGTAGGCCCCTAAGGGCTCTCAGAGAAAGATTAGAATGTCAACATCAATAGCCCCCATGATGTTCCACGTTGGCTCAGAGGAGAAGCAGCAATTCTGAGTGAGAGAAGCTGGCTGTGCAGCCGGGAGGTTGGTTATCTCGGGAGGTGGAGATGAGCGCTTGGTGAGGGGGGAGGGGAGGGGAGGAACCTCTAGGCAAATGGAAAACATATTTCCCAAAGGGAGAGAGAGATGGAGAGAAATGTACGGTGAACACCATTCATCAGACGAACTTCTAAAGCACTGTGCCGGGTCTCCCTTCTAGCCACTGAGGTGTGTGTGTTCCAGGTGACAACTCCACGGAGGTGCTTGAGTACCTCACCCACATGTTGTGGCGGCCACTGTGCGTTTACTGGGTGCCTTCAGCTTACTCTCTAGGGAGTCTAATACCGTATATGCAGTATCTCACTTGCCCTAATCTGCACAAGAGGTATTATAATCTCTACTTCACAGTTGAATAAATATCTGGTCTTCACGTAGACCAGCGGTTCTCAACCTGTGGGTCGCGACCCCTTTGGGGGTCGACCGACCCTTTCACAGGGGTCGCCTAAGACCATCGGAAAACACATATATAATTACATGTTGTTCAATTTGTAACAATGAAAATACATCCTGCATATCAGATGTTTACATGACGATGCGTAACAGTAGCAACATTACAGTTATGAAGTAGCAACGAAAATAATTTTATGGTTGGGGGTCACCACAACATGAGGAACTGTATTAAAGGGTCGCAGCATTAGGAAGGTTGGGAACCACTGACGTAGACCATCCATGCCACAGATAGGAGGCAAAGCCAGCGTTCCTGCTTCTGCAGCCCCCTGTCCCCTAAGGAGTTAGTGTCGTGCCAGCGATTGAAGGGCCCATTGGACAAGAACATATACCTGAACGTCAGGGACCAGCTATGATTCCTGGTGGCAGGTGTGGACCAAGTTTCTAGGAATTAAGGCTCAGCAGTCCCTCTGAGAGCCCTGTCCTCAAGGGACAATTTCTCCAGGAGGCGCTGCTGGACGGTGACTGCTTTCTAGAGCATTAGCTAACCACTTGCCATGTGCACATGGGAAAGGCTTCCAAGTGTTGCTTTCCCAATCTCCTCATTGTTTCGAGAAAAGACAAATCTAAATGACGAGGTTTCTTGGTCATGTGGCTGTGACCATATCATTAGAATAAAAACAAGCTTTTGAAAACTTAAGTGAAATTCAAACCCACAAAACTAGTTTCAAGTGTGGAGTCATTTGCTGAGACACTGGGCATACTATGGACCTCCTGTTTGGTCTTGATATATATATCCCTCTTTTTCACTTCCTGCATGCTCTTCTGGCAGAATACAAGATTTAGTGAAGATAAAGCAATGACAGTAGAGGCCAGCATGAGAAAAAGATGCTTGCGCTGCCCGGAAAGCTGCTCCTTCACAGAGAAACTCAAGCTGTCCCTGCGTAATAATATTTTGGTGAAGGGGAGAATAGTCCGGTATCTTATTGCTAATGACTTTGCAATAAAAATAAGTGCATTTGGTCTTCAACAGGGACCAAGGCCAGCCAGAATTTTTCATACTCATTCCATTTATACTTTGTTTAGAAGGGGCACAGCCTACCAAAGGCACAGGGCTGTGGATTCAGTCTCTGCCAAGGCCCTCGAGTAGAAGGAACTGGAACTTATGCACGCCAACCCAGATGCAATAACCCAGGTCTACTCTCTTCAGATTAACCAACTCTTCCCCAGACTCCCCTGTCATGAACACCACTCCGACCTATTGTTTACTTCTTGTTATTGTGGGGGAAACAGTTAATTTTCCATCAAAGTGCATGGCAGATGTTGGGGAAAGAGAGATGAAAGAATGAGCTGAAGGTGAAGGTGACTGTTACTGTCACTCAAGTCTGTCTTTTGATGCCACCTTCCCCTCCCTGGACCACTTCATCTAAACTGCACCTCCCCATTCCCACCCAGGGCGTCCTGCACCCCACCTGCTTCCTTTTTCTCCAAGCATTTCTCACCGTCTAACGTATTATATATTCTCCTTGTTTCCTTCCAAGCAGAATGTGACCTCCAGGAGGGCAGGGACTTTCGTCTTTCATTGCTGTCATTGATCTTTGCAGCATCCTTAGTGCCTGGCACTTTGTAGATGTGCCGTTGACATTTGAATGAATGAATGGGCAAGTGGACAAACAACCTCCCCAAGTGCCAGGGCAAACTCACTGAAAAGCACAGGTAGTTTCAATGAGTGGCAAAGGGTCTCTTGAATCTGCATGTCTTAAGAAGAAAAAGGAAGGTTTTGCTGTTCTTTTGTTGTTGTTGCTCTGGGTCATTCAAGGAAACCAGTCCCCCATATACCTTTCTCTACATTCCACCCCCTCGTTGGGCTGTATAACATGGCCAGAAGCAGAAAAGGCATTTATATTAATTTGAAGCTGTTTCCTACAGCCTTGAAAATGTAAAGTTGTAGAAAACAGGTTTCCAATTTTCTGAACTTAAAGGATAACAATTTTAGAACAAAATGTCACTTCTAAAAGGAACATTAGGCTTAAATTATTCTGTCTTGTATATCGAAAAATGCCAGCTAAGAGTCAGATAGTAACAATTTGCACATTCAGGTCCCAAGTGGAAGAGTTTGATTTCTTATACAATGAATATGAAGTAAAAAAAATCTCTAAATCCAGGCCAAATCCCCGAAGACCTGATTAAACTGTTTCTTATTCATTTGAGGGGGAGGGGAACAATACAACCAATTTACTCTTGCCATGAAAACAATCTAATCCCATGAACTTGTAATAAGCTTTTAAAGTTTTACATTTTCAACTTTTCATTTAAGCATGGCTGCTCCTACCTAATTATGCTGATTTTGTTTAGAAGACTGGGAGCAGAAAGGGAAAACAATAATCTCAGTTAAATTTTCATTAGATTATTGCTGAGGTTCGGGGAGATTTTTCTTCTACAGAAACTGGCTGCATTTGTGCTGTGAGCATTGCCGGTCTCATAGTAGGTTCTCTGTGCTGGGGAATCACATATTTTTGCTCTTCAGTTTCACTGCCTAACAAATGAATATCATCGCCACCGAGTCTTCTCAGTCCCATAGTTAAGGATGTTATACTTAAAAAAAGCAAAACTAATGAGTTTGCTTTTGGTACAGGATTTTGACAGAGCACAAAGGTTTTCTTGGAAGATGGGACAGTGGTTGGGATCCCAAAATAACAGGTCCGAGGCTGGATTTCAAAGGGCTTAACCAATGAGTATTTCAGGGCGAAGGACCTGGCGCATCGATCGGAACAGCATAGGTGTGGGTTGCAGTTGGAGCACCCAAGTGTCCGGCTCAGTGTTGAATGAACAAATTGATTTTTGAACCTCTGACCCAGTGGCTGGCTCTCAACACACGTAGGCTAGACAGTTGGGTGGGTTTTGTTCAGGGAAGTCCAGTGCTCCCCTCAGAATTTCTAGGCGGCCTGTCTGGCTTTATGTAGCTTGTCTGGTACATTTGCTGCTTGACTCTGAAATTGGATTTCCTCCTGTTTTACTGCAGAAAATGCAATCCAGGCTTTTGGCAACGGCTCCGATGTCACAGTGTGGCAGCCGGCCCTCCCGGTTCAGACCACCACTGCCACGACCACCACAGCCTTCCGGGTCAAGAACCAGCCCCTGGGGCCAGCAGGGTCCGAGAATGAGATCCCCACCCACGTGTTACCACCTTGTGCAAATTTACAGGTAAGCACGGGGCTGACGGTGGGAGCTCATGGCTGGCGCCACCCAGGCTCATTCTCTTCACAGCCAGGCGGCGAACAATGCCCAGGTTGGAATCTTAAAAGTGCATCTTAACCGTGATACATGGAGATACATGGGAAGTGCCACAGAGTGGAAAGAAAGCTGGACTTTGCCATTCATTGGGGGTGTGGCTTTGGTCAAGGCTCCTGCATATGTATCTGCCCTGGTGTCCTCGCCTGGAATATGGTGTGAGGACTGGGCATCTGGGTCCTGAAGGTTTTCATTCGTGGGGTCCAGCTAGATCGGCTGTGTGCATATGTATTAAGCTTATTCCGTGTTTTCTACAAAACAGCAGCATCTTGAAAAGAAAGGAGCTTTTGGTTTTGTCCCCAACACCGCCGCTTAAACGGAATGATTTAAAACTGTGTCTAGCCCAGCCCGCGTGGCTCAGTGGTTGTGCGTCGACCTATAAACCAGGAGTTCATGGTTCAATTCTCAGTCAGGGCACATGCCCAGGTTGTGGGCTTGATCCCCAGTGTGGGGAGTGCAGGAGGCAGCCGATTACTGATCCTCTCTCATCACTGATGTTTCTCTCTCTCCCCCCCTTTCCCTTCCTCTCTAAAATCAACAAAAATATATTAAAAAATACAATTGTCTCTAAAGGGGAACCAGAGGCAGAGCTACCAGTGAAGCGTTAGCTCAAACGTGGAGCCCCCTAGGGCTTGTCCGTCTTGCGCAGTGAGAGGATCTGTGAGCAGCTGCCCTGCGAGGACAGTCCAGCGGGAATGTCCGGAGGCCTCCTTGGGGTTAATCCCGACCTCTCAAGGCAGGGCCACACCACACTCACAGTGGCTTCTTGACTTTCGTCACAGCAGGGTGTTTATTCTGCCCTTCCATTGATTTCCCACAGTAAAGAGCAGTCAGCTGTTTGTAGGACGGTACATACTCAGGTGCTCACACAGTATTTTCACGCACTTTCCCTCTTTGCATGTTACGCTCCTGCGGCTGCCAGAGAGATGCTATTACTGTGGTCCTGCCAGGCTGGTTCTTTCATTCGAGGACACGGGCTCAGCGAGGTACCACTTTCACTGGAGCCTGTGGAGCTGGTGGGTCACAGATCCCGCGCTGGGGGCCCAGGAGCCTCGCCTTCTTCTCAGGGCTCTCCCTGTATTTGGGGTAGTGCTGACTGTGTGGTGACTTCTGCCTCCTGCCCTGTGCGGAAGGGGGCATTTGCCAAGCACCACGCTGTCACACTTGTCATACTTCACACTCATTGCTGGAGCACATCGTCCCTTCTCTCCCCTCACTCCCCCTAAGGGTCAGTCTGGCCGGAGTGCTCCCCAGCATCAGGGCCTCTCCTAGCCTCCGCTTCCTCATCTGGGAGTCCAGGGGCTGGCCTCTCTGCTAGAGTTGTGAGGATTAAACGAGGTCATGCATCAGTGCTTGGGGCACAGAGAACGCTCCAGAATGGTGCTTTAGAAACGTCCCAGGCAGTGCCACTCCTATATCACTGGCTACTTGGGTCCTTTACAACAGTAAACAGATGCCCGTGTTGTGCGTGCATGGGGTGGGGTGCTGTGCCAGGGAAAACTGGTGTGTTAGTGCTCATAGGCGTAGAGCGTGTTTAGCTTTTCAAAACATTTCACCTGCTTTGTGCCCTTTATTCCATACCAGCCCATGAGTCAGGTGAGATAGACATCCATCCCTTTGACAAACGAGGCCACTGAGGCAGGGAGAGGCTGGCGATCCACCCAAGCTCACACAGCAGTGCCCTGGCAGGGCTGGGATTTTTGGATCCGAAGCCAGTGTGCCTCGGCCTTGCTCCCAGGTCACGGACGTTGGCCTTATTCCATGGCCTTGGACAACCTGGGCTCCTCTGAATTAGGAATGGACAGAGAGGAGGAAGTGAAAACCAGAAAAGGAGGTCATGCAGCATTTGTCTTTCTGTCTGGCTTACTTCACTCCGCATCATGTCCGCCAGGTCCATGCGGAACCTGAAAAAGGAGCGTCCTGAGACGCAGGGAGTAGAACGGTGGTTACAAAGGGGTGAGGAGGGGGAAGTGGGGGATGCGGGGCAAAGGGTGCAAAGTTCCAGCTCCGCAGGATGAGTAAGTTCTGGGGGTCTAATGGACAGCGTGGTGACCACAGTTATCGCATACTGTATTCTGTGCTTGAGATTTGCTATAAGAGGGTAGATCTTTGTTGTTCTCACAGCCCCCCAAATGGTTAACTTGATTGTGGTAAACCTTTCACAATGTATGCGTATATAGAAGCGTCCCATTGTATGCCTTGCCTGTATACAATTCTTATTTCTCAATGATTAACTCAAGAAATCTGGAGGGGCGGGGGGCGGGTGCAGAAAAGACGAGCAGGAAGAAGCTGGTTTTGAGGGAGCCGTATGCCCAGTTCTTCCTGAAGATGGTGATGCACGTGACAGGACAACACAAAGCTCATCCTTGGGCTGGTTTTCCTCCTGCCACTGTTCCAGGAGACAGGGTGCCAGGGAAGCCCTGAGAGTTTGCCAGCAAAACTTAGTGCAGCTTGGTCATCTCTTCAGGATGACTGAGATTAAGAACGGTGGAAAGAATCGCTGGAGGCCAGGGCTTTGATCAGGGGATGAGCAAGTGATGAGAGATGGGTCTCAGACCGTAAGAATGAGGTCCCTGGCGCTGAGTCGGAACACCTGCTCTGATGCAGGGCCTCCACGAGATGTGTTCTCCCCGTCTGTCCTTCCTTCGCCTGCCTGGCTGTCTCCAGGTAAATCACCATTTGCCTGAGGGGCCCAGAAATATCTTCGAAGGGTGTTTGCCCGCCGCATATGTCGTTACTCAGAATAGAACCCGCTTGGGACCCATTGGTAACAGATTTGGAGGAAGTCAGCTACGTCTGGCAGCTCTAAAGTTCACCTCCCCCGAGAAGCACCCTCTTGTAATATTTTATAATGTACAATAATACGAGAAAACTCTCGGGGACTTGAGTTTCTGTCTTAACATTTGAGATAGATTTCCCCCTTGGAAGGGAAGCAGTAGAATAAACATTTTCAAAAAGTCAGCTTCGAAGGCTAATTATCAACACACCAAACCCAGTTCTGTTTGGGGAAACGGTGGCCTGGGGTGCGTGCGGTGCACCCAGGACTCATCAGTGGTTGCTATGAAAGGCTCTGCTTTACAAAAGGAAGGTTGATTCGTATGAAATGTCATGGAAATGTCCAAGGGCCGGCCCCCTGAGGTGCTAAATGACCAGGTTTTGGGTAACCCACCACACTCCCATGTCGGGATTCATTGGCAGTTGTATTAGTAACAAGCGTGACACAGGCGATGCTATTGTTGGCACATCCCTTTGACTCTGTACAAAACGGTCACATGAGAAACAAGGCAATATTTAAAAGCCTACCAATTATTTCATCTTCTGCGCACTTGAGTGGTCTGGTAGCTGGAAAAAGCTCAGGATACGCAAGCCAAGTGGATTGTGCTTGTCATTTATATGAAGTAGATATTCGGGGGAGATGCAAGTATTGGAAAAATCTCTCTTTGGCATCACTACACTGTTTATCTCCGGTGGCATAAGGTGAAGACCACTCCAAGTGGCATTTGTGGGCCCCCGATTTCCATGGTCAAATAGGGTTATAGAGACTAGGTAATACAGGCTTGGGAGTAGGGCTTAGAACCCCTGAGAAGTTTTACTCCCTCTGCTGCTTTCCTGGAAAGAGCTGGGAAGGGTGATTGAGAGGAGAAAGCCTGATAGAGCAGGGCGTACTCTCAGGCCTAGCAGGATGGGTCTGGGATAGTTCTGGGCAGTGTGTGAGCTCTATAAACAGTGCAGGCCATATTCAAAGTCAGTTGTTTTGTTTGTGTTGGGAGCCAAATAAAACATATCCGTGGAGGACCAGATCTCAAGTTCAAGTGCTGGCCCCTGTCCTCGTGGGACTTTTAAAGCAGCTTTCTCAGTCATAAAAGATGTGAGCAGGGTCCCAATGGATGGCCTTTGCAAGAATGCTGACTGCTAAGATCAGCAATGCAGAGGCCAGCTGTCCCCTTCCCCCTCAATGATCGCATCATCCACTTTGGTGGTCAGGCCACGCTAGCTCTAGGGGTCCCACAGCTGGGTCACCGATGGCCCTCTGTGGGCCACGGGGTGGGCACCATTCTCCAGCAGAGGACCTACAACATCCACTGGATTTCAGTGTGAGGCCACACCTCCCTGGCCTCCTGGGAAAGCCTCACTCCAGGCCCTTCTTTTTCCAGAGTACAGTTTGGAGCTTAGAGCAATGAGCTGGGCCCTTGTAGGCTGCAGCACCACCTTTACGGGTTGATAGGTGTGGAAAGGGAGGCAGGATTTGCCCATCTTTAATACCTAACACATGTGACTCCTACATAGACTATTTGAGTATTGAATTTGAATGTGGAATACTAGAGACCCGGTGCACGAAACTCATACAAGGGTAGGGTCCCTAGGCCTGGACGGCCATCAGGCTGGGGCCTTCCTTCATTCCGCGCCACCCCCTGGTGGTCAGCGCATGTCATAGCGAGCAGTTAAACTCCTGGTCGGTCAAACTCCTGAGGGGACAATTTGCATATTAGCTTTTTATTATATAGGATTAGCATACTGCCTTAGAACATTGAAAACAATCTCTATCTGAAACAAGTCGTTGCATACTGGAAGAGCTGTGTCTCAGGAGACCTCGGCAAGGCCCATTCGTACCGGATAGGGCCAGCCCAGCCCAGGAATGATTTCAAAACTCTTCTCAGGGCCAAACCCCAAAAGTCTGGATGTGGCAGGAGGGCGATTATCCAAACCTGCTAAGTACCCAGGACTCCACTGGCTGTGACCATGTGGAAATCTGAAGTGTTGAGTTTTAAAAGGAAAGCTGCCAATGGGTGTTCTGTGAATCATTGGTGCCAACAGACTGACCCCATTATGTCAGCTAATCCTGGAAATACAGGAGGCAAATTTAAATCTTCCAGCATGAAGCACTTAATCAATATTCTAAATGTTTCCCTTGC